AAAAAAAAAAAAAAAAGGCTATACTCTGTTCAATAGGAGGGGATTGAAAATAAAAATAACCACTGTAATTAAATTTGCTCCTATCAACCACTCTCCCAGCTCTTATTTTTCTCTTCAAGGTACATGTTTAATGCATTTCCCAAACAACTTCATAGCCCACAAAGGGTCATTTATCAGTTTAAAGCACAGTAAAGTGTCCCACTCAAGGAACCATGTAAGCTTATTTCCAGTGCCTTAAAAATTCAAACACACAGGCTAGATGTAGCTTGATGATAAAGCAGCTGCCTGCGCACACGCGCGCACACACACACACACACGCACACACACACAAACGGGAGGGGGGAGGAAGAGGAAAAGGAACAGGGACAGGGGAGGGGGAGGGAAAGCACAAAGGAAAAGAGACTAAGCTACAGGTCATTTTCTTTACATTGTGTCCTTCTCACCCAACACTTAAATTCCTTGTACCTCACAGGGATTGGTGGAACTGCTTTGGATATTACTGTGATCTTTTGTGAAGGTCTTCCCCAGCCTACTCCCACTACCCTGGGATGAGACAGAAGGCAGGTCACCATCACAGGAACCAATGCCATACCTAGGGGGAACACAGTATCCCTCATATCACAAATGAAAGCAACTAAGAGGAGAAAAGCCAGGGCTCTTTTCCTTTTTAAAAATTGGGTAAATGTTTTTAAAAATTTTGTAAAAGCCTGACCACTTAGAAGAATTAAACCTATGCTGAAAAACTGAAAACCTCATTATTCTGGGTCTAGTACCTGCTTTCAGATATGGGTAAGCTGAACCTCAGGTAAGTTAAGGGGCCTGTGAGGGCTCCAGAGGCAGCTCTAGCATCCATCAGGCAGCCTCTCCAAAGCTCTAGCATCCATTTTTTGTCTCTCCATTCTAATCACATTAGTAACCTTTTGCTGTTATTGTTTGTTTTGTTTTTCTGGTTTTTTTTTTTTTTTTTTTAGGTACTAGGGATTGAACTCAGGACCGTGTGCTTGCCAGGCAAGCATTTATTCTACTGAGCTATCTCCCTGGCCCCCTACCACCACTTTGGAAAGTTGGAATTTTTATTTACTTTTGAGTATCTCTATTCATTTTCAGATTTGCATTGTGAACAGGAAAAGAAAAATGATAACTTCTCCATTCGTTTAAACCCCTTGCTTTTGTTACATAGCAAGGTAGTCTAGTCTTTGAGACTATACCTATTAAAACACCAAGTCAAGTTCTCCAAAACATAGCACATACAAGAGATTCTTAGATGTTTATTTTTTATACTTTTTTTTTGGGGGGGGGGGCACAGAATCTATGTAGTTTAGGCTGGCCTTGAGCTCATGGCAATCTTTGTGCCTCAGCTTCCCTAGTGCTGAAATTACAGGTGTGCACCACTACACCAAGAAATTTCTTATAAATTAGGAAATCAAATCCATGGTATAATGGAATGCATAGTAGTGCCCAAGAGTACATGGAAACTCCTTTGCAAGTCTAAAAATGGCTAACATAACATACATTAACATTCACAAAGTCTTCTAAGTGACAATATCTATTTTAAATGAACTATTTTTGGTCTTGCAAAGTTGATACTTCAGTTTTTTGAGGGGGTTTTTGGCCCTAATTATCTATATTTATGGTTTATAATTATTTTTACTGATATCTTTCATACAAAGAGATGACTTACCATTTACAGTAGAGAAATGCTAACTATGCATTTATCACATATGTTGTACTTATAACATAAACTGTCATTTCACCAAATATAGCCAAACTATGGAAAGTAATAAGCAAAAGAATGAAGTCTGAGAAACATTTTATTAAGCCTAGGAAAAAATATACTTGTGTAACTTTCGAATTTTTACCTTATAGGTCATTTCTTAACTTAAATACCAAGTATTTACATTGTACATCATGAAACATGTTTGGTTCCACCACTTCTAATTGGTCCAACCTTCCAGGGCCAAGAGCCCTTTCTCTAGCCAATACAGTACAGTGACTATGATACAGTGAGTCATTTGCAAATAACTGCTACAGTGTGTGCCTCAGGCAGTGGTGTGGTAAGGGATGGCCTTCTCTACATTTAATGATCTATTACTAACAATATTCTTGCAGTCCCACTGGATTGTTAAGAGTAGTACTTCCAGGATAAAGCAGCATTTTCAAGAGTACAGGAAAAAGTGACTTCTGTACCCTGGTACCTGCTGACTTGTAGGATAAAAACCACACTTACCACTTTTTCCTTGGTGGTACTGGAATTCACTTTAAATACACAGCTACTTAATTTTCACTCATTCAGTACAATGTTACAAAGCAGAGTATAGCAACACTACAGTGCAGGCAACCTTTCAGCACAGGACAACATCATTTTGGGCAAAAAGAGCGCTTTGTGTTAATTGTGGACTGAACCAGGAGGGAAGCACTACAATGGAGCTCCACCACCCCACCTTTGCTGTGCACCCACCATTCCCACCACTCCTGTATTTCCTGTCATCAAACCAGCTCCAAGTAACCTGGGAGGAAGATTTTGACTTAAAGGCTTTTAACAGCTGAAGAGTAGAGCTGGTACACCTTGGCCAAGTCACGGAAGGACGGGACAGGGGAGATGACTACTCAACCACAGTGAGCTGAGAAGCCCCTCTCACAAAAGATGCTACCATGCACTAAGCAGCCAAGGGCCACAACATGCTATCTGAAAACAGGTGCAGAATAGCTTACTTGTGGGATGTCCTCTTCTTCATCATGTTTGCAGACACTCCAGCATGGCCTACAAGATAGGTGAGTTAAGGTCAATGACAAATAAGTAAAAAACTACTTTAGAATTTAGGAATAACATAATTTCTGCATAACTGCTTACATAAGCCCTAAAAATATATCATTAATAGCCAGCATATAAGAAAACCATTCATTTATCTTCTAAAATGTAACTACTACAGGTAGACAACATGCCAAAAGCCACAGTTCTCTAATCTAAATCACCCTTAAAAATACAAAACCAGTCATGTGGATAAAATGGCAAAACAAAGCTGACAATCCTGGCTAGAGTAGTAAACACTATCAAACTATGTTCTTGTAAAATAAACAACAGAGGGCCAGTTAGATAACTCAGCGGACTAAACACCTGCTTAGGAAAGTACAGGGACCGAGGTTTGATCCCTAGCACCACATGCAGGGCTGGGGGGAGGGGCACACACAACCTGGCACATGGTGGCACATGCCTATAATCACAGTGCTGGGAAGGTTGACAACAGAAGGATCACTATGAATTCAAGCTGCGCAGTGAGACCCTGTACAAAATATATAAACATAAAATAAACGACAGAACAAAATATATCAAGTATCTGGTTTCAGACAATGAATGACAGGCATTGAAAGTCTACTGGAGCTGGAGGCAGAAAAGCAAGGAAAAAGGCTGTCATTGGGTCTGAGTTCACTCCTGAGTCCAGTTACTGGATGGTGTACATAAAGAGGGAGCCAAGAACACTGGCTTTGATAAGTGGCAAGTCAGACAAGAATTAGGAAAGCATGGCGGCTGGCAATATGAACCATGGGCAGGAAAGGTGGGGGCTGGCCCTCAAAAGGGGACCTCCAATATCTGCATGGAATGTGGAAGCTCCCATTTTTTGATTACACACAAACTTGTATATAATTCTGAAAAGCCATAAAAGGGTAAAGTTACCTTGAACACCTGGAGCAATCAGTTAAAAAAAAAAAAAAAAAATTCGGTATTCCCTTCCTTGGAAGTTGAAACAGTCCTGCGATATAGGCTAAATAGATCCATCCCCAGTAACTGCATGCCAAAATAAAACTCTCAACACTAAAAGACATCCAACATTAAAAAATATGACCCAGTGGTCAACAACACAACACTTCAAATATCCAACACTCCACCAAAAATGATCAGACATGTAATATCTGGGGTGTACCTCAATGGCAGAGCACTTGCCTAACATGCACAAAACCTGTTTGACTTGCCATTCTACAATAAGTAAAACTTTAAAAAGAAGAAAACGTTAAGTATGATTAAAAACACCACTGAATGAAAAGCAAAAAGATCACTGAATGTGATTAATCGCACAGCATACTAAGCAGATAAAAGTGATTATTATGGTTGGTATCTAAGGGTCCCCCGAAAGCCTCATGCACCTTTAGATGAGGCTTTTTTGTAGGTAGGTGAATCTAGAATTTGTGACTATTTCATGGCTCAATGTTAGGATTAAGGGTGCTATGATCAATGGTGGGTGACTGCTAGATCAGTACACTGACTTGACTGGCACAACCCTAATCCCAGTAGGCTGGATAAACTATATGGGGCAGGAAGAGGAATGGAAGCTTGTCTCTTCTCTCATTGCTTTTGCTGTGTTCTGTAGCCATGAATTGTTTGTTGCCCCTGTGCCATGCCACTCTTGCTTTGGAAGCAACTGATTATGGATTGAAACTTCTACAAACTGTGACCTAAATAAACCTTTACTCCTTTAACTTTGGGTGTCAGATATTTTGTCTCAGCAAGGAAAGAAAAGTAAATAAGATAATCACCAAAGAATTTGACAAACAGCAGTACAAACTAACTCTGGAATGTATACAGCAATACTAACAGGGATAACATTAGACTCCTGACTGAGAGAGGAGAGAGGAGCGAGGGGGTAAATAATGTAGAAATTTTTCTGGTTGTGACAAAAACAGTCATAGGGCTATCAAATTCAATAAAGGCAAAGCAAGATCAAAAAAAAGCACTTCTAAATGAATTTCCAAAAATCATTAGGGTTTTTGTTTTTTTTTTTTTTTTTTTGTAGTTTGCTTTTTGAAACAGGTATTACATACGTAGGAAAACCTGTGCCAAATAAACAAATAATTTACAAAAATTTTTAAAACACAAATTTCTCATCATGAATGTACATTTACAATTTCTCACAGCCAGCTAAATACCCTGTCACCACCCATCCCAGGGCACAGACAGCTGGCCATTGAGGTCAGGCATGGTGGTGCACACCTGTAATCCCTGCTCTGGGGAGGCAAAAAACAGGAGGATCACTGCAAGTCAGAGCTGTGCAGTGAGACCCTGTACCAAAGACATTAAAAAAAAAAAAAAAAAAGCCAGCTAAATAGAGGCATTTGCAAACATCAATTGGTCTAGAAAACCAGATCAGAAAGAAAGATGGAGAAAGGGATCTGACTGCCAAGATAGCCATCCTCTTCCACTCACCAACATATTATGTACTGGAAAGGGGTCTGAAGACAGTTAACTGTTAAAGAAGTGAGTTGCAAACCCAAATGTTGAAGCTAGTGGATTTCTAACTGGTAGGCAACTTATTACACCCAGCTGAAATAAACTAGTGTGGTGCTGGGTGCAGGAGGCCCACCTGAGGGTTGTTGCCAGGAGCTTCCCCTCATGGAGAAGCTCGTCACATTGGCTTTCCTGATAGGAACTTGGCTTTCCTCATTGCTGGAGGAGCTCAGGACCTCCCTGTTGCTGAGGATGGCTGTGGTGCTTTTGGGGGAGCTCTGGTGCTTACCTTGAGCATTGCTTCCTAACTCCAGTTCAGGTCCCTCAACCTGCTAGCACAGATCCTTCATCCCGCTGGCACAGACTTTCTAGTTTGCACTACTGACCTTTGGGCCTTTCTAGCACAGACCTGTTAAGTAGGCCTGCATGAGACCTGGTCGTGGGCTCTAGACCTCCAGTTGGACTTGCGGGAGGCACTGTTACGAGCTCTAGGATTTCAGCTGGACTCATGCAGGTTATTAGGATCTAGGCCCTCAGCTGAATTTTATAATGTTTAGTGTGTGGCTATATTTCCTGCACTTCTCATATATGATTCTTGTGTGATTAATTATAAAATATTTTAAAATGTGTTCTTTACTATACTGTTCACCTTGCAAAAAACCCCAATCCATGACAGTAAGGCAAGACACTAACTACAAGAGAAGTAGGAGCAAAACTTCCGGAAATATTCCCAGAATCCCTCTGACCTTAGAGCAGACAGGAGGAATGTGGTCCAAAGTGAGCATAGAAGTGGTAAACATAAAGGATTAGCTCAGGATCTCCCAGATGTTAGTTACCTTGTTTCCCTGTGAGGACCTCATGCTGGGCACATTGGGTGCCGGCTTCTGGGAAAAGGTGCCTCAGTTCTAACTAGGCTATTGCTTTTCCCTGTATCCTAAAGCAAAACTCTGCACACCACTCCACAACTCCACTCATCCCACACAAGTCCTTTAGAAGAGGGAATCTTCTGTTTATCACTGAAGTAAATGTAAATCATTCATAATCAAACACTCAGTCCTAAATATGACCAAAGATCAGCAATCTCAAAGTACAACTGAGAAAGACAAGAGAGACTGCCCCAAATCGATCTGAGAATTAAAATGATTACACATTACAGAACTGGCAAGTCAAGGATGTCAAAATATAAACTATATATACAGACGCCTGTGAACTAAGCAACTGCACTGAAGATGGCAATTTATTTTTTCTATTTTTTTCCCATAATTTTATTGAGAAACAAATAGCAATGAGACAGTTTCAAACCAAATTGGCAGGACAGTTTCAATAATTAACACATTGCATACATTCTTCCTAGCGGTTGATTGCTGTACAAGATGCAGACATGATATCCTATTTACAAACTCTATTAGAGCAAATCTAGATGGCAATTTATAATAGTAGGCTCATGCTTGGAGTGCATGTCATTCTGGTCTTCTGAATAGGGGCTGCTTGTCATGACATGCCAGTTGCTACCATGCTGTCTCTCAGGTAGATGATTGTTCAAAAAGAAGGGGGTGGGGCTGGGGAGATGGCTCAGTAGAGTAAGTGCTTCCGTGGCAAGCACAAGGGCCTGAGTTCAATCCCCGGTTCTGCTCCCCACCCCAAAAAAAAAGTTCAAAAGAAGGGGGTGGTGAATGAAGGCAGGAGATAGCAAAAGGAATGTTGCAGGACTGTCCTGCTACAAGGTTGTATATGGTTAGATTTCTGGACTTATGTGTAAACATAAGAATTATATAATTCTTTATGCCTATTTTTAAAATATATTTTAATTTTTAAATTTTTTTTCATCATATTCTGTAAGGACTTAAAGTTCAACATATCAATACTTGATGAAAATTACCTGTTCCATATTATGCCTAAGATGTTTGATATTCAGACAGATAGTAAGGTTAAGCTAAACAGTCTAGGTTGTATGGTAATAACAATAAGCTTGTCTTCTAGATGGTTAACAACCTAAGTTTGCAGACCAAAATTAGAAAAAAAAAAGGAGGGCTGCAAGGAAAAGTCAACGTTTTGGCTCTAGCCTTCCACGGTCACTTACGACTCAGGACATATGAGAACTTGTACTGTAACATCACATAACTCGGTAGCGTCCCAAATTTTCTGATCAAGGAGATTATGGGGCCAAAGAGGAAAGTGATCGATGATGTAGAGTGTGCCTAAGGAGAGTCACATGGAAAGAAAGCATTCTCTCAGGCTTTCACAGAGAGCACATTGGTCAAGCAATGGCCGTGACTCATCCACATGGCTGATACTGACAAAGGATCTACAATCTGAGGTACAGGATCTCAGGATAAATCCTGAGGGGATTTCACTGACCTTATCAGATCCAAAAGCTACAACTCTTGTTGCATAGGTCTTGCTTTATCTTGGTCTTAACCATCCAACAGAAAAGTATAAAAACGAAGTATAAGAAGTAAAGCCATGGTGCTATGTTGAGCTGTAGGGGACTCAGGTCAACAATTTCTGACACTGCCAGTCAAGCGCAAGACCCAATACTATTACAGACTACTGGACTCTTTTAGAATATTTTGCTGAGTTAACACACCTATAATATTCAAATGACAGAACTAAACAAAAAAAGGGGGATACAGATGAATGACCATTTTGTATCTGTGGATTCAAAATGGTTAGGATATATAGCTACATTCTCTTAATTCAATGAATAGAATGATTTGTGCTAATAGTGTTTGTACATAGGATATCATGTCTGCATCTTGTACAACAAATAACCATTCAATGTGTTAAATATTAGAACTGTACTACCAATTTGATTTGAAACTGTCTCATTGCTACTTTCTCTCAATAAAATTATGGGAAAAAAATATATATATAAACAGAGGCTATAAAAGGGAAACAAGAGCTCTTACAATGAAAAACTAAATAGGAAAACTGGTGGTTTCTACGTAGCCCAGACTGACCCTGAATGTATGGCAATCCTCCTGCCTTAGCCTCTCTAGTAGTAAGATTACATGCATGTACCACCATACCCTGATGGTTTCTGGTCTGGCATATAAGGAGCTTGGAAGTTGCCAATCTATACTAACAGCAAGCAAAAAAGTGAACTAAACAAACACTCTTCTTGGATTGGTCAGAGTATCAAAAGTCACAGAAAAAAGGGCTGCCCCCCAAATTAAGAAAGGTAAATACAGGTCATAATTTATTTAATCAGATTCCTAAGACTCTGGAGGTAAAACTTGGGAAAATGGGGGTCTTTCAAAGACTGCTGCCCATACTCAAGTCTTAACCAAGCATATTCTTACAGACCTCTCCACCCTCAAGCAATGCCAGCCACAATTTAGGGATTCCTACCCTGACACTGGTTCCAGTGCAGAATTTAGATTAAATAATCCAGTGCACCTAAGCGCAGTGGGACTGAGATACACAGGTGACAATCACAGACCTGGGGCTCAGATTCAGATTCACCAAAAGGTTGGGACCTGAGCACAGGACTACAGAACCACAGTAATAGAGAAATTACTGCGCATGAACAGAAGAGTAGAGAAAGGCAGAAACTTTAAAAAAAGAGAGAAAAATAGTTCAGTGGTAGACTACACATTGAACTAGTATGTGTGGTGACACATTTGATCTCCTGCACCATAAAACAAACAAGTGCAAGGCTGGCCACATAGCTCAGTGGACTAAAACACCTGCTTAGGCAGAGACAGAGCCCAGGAGTTGATCCCAGCCCTGCCTTACTGACCCAGGGGCATGCTGAGATGGAAAGAATGAGACTGGGGGCGGTGGTGTGTGCCTGTAATCCCAGGGCTTGGGAGGCTAGGGAAAAAACAATAACAAAAACAAACAAAAAAAAAAACCAGGATCACTACAAGTCTGATCTGTGCCGTAAGACCCTGTACTAATTAAAAAAAAAAAAGACTAAGATTTCATATCCTGAGCAAAAACTATGCCCAATGGGGGAGGGGGGGAAGAAATGCCTACCTTCATAATAAAATGTAAAACCATAAAAGACCTACAAGGAGAGAGGAAAACCTCAATGATTGAGAAAGGCCATCAGTGATAACTCTTAGTCACAACATCAAGGACATGATTAATGAAAAAATAACTGGTAAATTGACTTCATTAAAATTAAAAAACTTGACAGGCATGGTGCCACAGCATTCAGAAGGCTGAGGCAGGAAAATCACTGAGTTCAAACCCAGCCTGCACTACATAGTGAAAACCTGTCTCGAAACAATAAATAAAGGGGCCAGGGAGATAGCTCAGTAGAATAAGCGCTTGCCTGGCAAGCCCAAGGGCCTGAGCTCAATCCCCCTTTCCACAAACAAAACAAATCACACTTGAGAATTTCAAAAAGTTACCAGGGTGCTTAAAATTTCAAATTTCTAAGATATTTAAGCACGTAAAACAAAATCAATCAAGGTCCAGGAAAAACAACCAAACACTGCACCAAAACCAGTTAATTACACTGTATTACTTGACTTAACAATGTTTTTGTTGTTTTATTTTTGTCTTTTTTTGGTAGGATCTTGCTATGTAGTTCAGACTGGTCTTAAACTCACTTTGTAGCCCAGGCCTCGAACTTGCAGAAATCCTCCTGCCTCAGCCTCCCTAATGCTGGGATTATAGGCATGTGCTGCTACACTCAGCTTTACATTACTATAGCAAAAAAATAAAATTAAGAGGCTAGTGGAGAGGAAGATGTCATGCTAAAGACCCAAATTCCTCAATAGAAGTCAACACAAAATATCTAATATGTTAGATTAAGACACATGTATACTTTTCTTTCTTTTTTTTTTTTTTTTTTTTTCAAATTTCAATAGTAGGGGCTGGGGAGATGGCTCAGTGGAATAAGCACTTCCCTGGCAATTGCAAGGGCCTGAGTTCAATCCCCGGTTCCGCCAAAATACAAACAAACAAACAATTTCAATAGTAAAAATCAGAATGAATATCCACTCTTTAAGATTGTTAACACAACTACATTTTTATTAATGATAAAAACTGAATGTTTTCTTTTAAAAAAAGACCTTAAAATTTATAATGGCAAGAGTATTTTTAAAACATGGGTATTTGATGCATAAATTACTACTACCATCTCACATATATTACATATTACATATATATTACATAATTTGAGGACAGAGAAAAAAACAGCCTCACACCCAGAAAAAATAGTCCAATTGCTGCAAAAGAGCTAGACAGCAGAAGCAAGCCTAAAATTTAGCTTTTAAGATTTATTTGCTGGCAAGAAGCTCAGCTGATCAAAGCGCCTGCTTAGGCAAGCAGAGGGACTGTGGTT